CCTTTTCAAATAAAAATTATAGGTATAAACCAACCAAGCAGTGTGATTTCAACTGTCAAATTAGACTAATTTGTAATTACTGACATGTATCAATATAGTAGTAAGCACCATCAGATTACAAATGTTTTTGTATTACAGCAAGAGGAAAAATAAGTACTTAGCCTTTTAGAAAATTAAATTTAGGGCCGGCCAAATAGCTCAGCAGATTAAAGTTCCTGCAAGCAGGTGCGGGTAGGGGTGGGAGTGGGGTTAGATCCCTGGGCCTACTGTTTTGGCCCCGCGCCCCAGGGCACACTGAGAAGATGGCATACACTTGTAATCTCAGCTCTTGGGAAGCTGTAAACAGACGGACCACTTTGAGTCCAATCTAGTAGTAAGACCCTGAACACCTTGTAGTCCCTTCCCTAAAAAATAAAAAAATAATTTAAAAAAATTAAAATTTACAGATAGTTCAGCAGACTAAACTCCTGCTTAGACAGGTCCAGGAACCAGGTGTGCAGTGTGTACCCTACCCCCGGGGCCTGCAAAGACAGCCACTGAGACTGGGTGTGTTGGGGCACGCCAGTAATTCCAGCACTTGGGAGGCTGAAAGCAGAAGGATCACTACTAGTCTCATCTGTGCAGTGAGACCCTGTAGACTCAATACTAAATTTTTTTTTTAATTTAAGGCTAAATGTCATGCAAAACGAAGAGCGGGCTGGAGTGTAAAACACAACAGAAAGCTAGAGGCGCAGCTTAATGGTATTTGTCTAATACCTCAAGATCCAGAGTTGAATCTCCTCAACCACAAACAGTAGTAGCAAACAGAAGTAAATGAGTGTCACTAATGAACATATCATCAAATGAATGACTATATTAACCTGAAGGCAATATTTTATACTTTCATACACACTCGCACTTTTTTTTATTTTCTTGTGAGCTGGAGATTATATCCATGCTAGACACGTGCCTCATCACTGAGCTACATCTTCAGACTCTTATTTTTTAGATAGGGTCTAGCCAAACTGCCCAAATAATACATTATTAACTTCCCAGACTGGACTCAACCTTCTGATCTCCTTCCTCATCAGCATCACAGAGTCCTGGGATCAGAGACAGATATGTACCACTGTGCCATGCTTAGTACTTAAAATATTTTTGAGTTGAATCAACTCCTAAAGAAGTGCAATCCCTGGTACCAAATAAATAAATAAATAAATAAATAAATTTTATTGTAAGGGCAAGTAAGGAAGAGAATATTGAAAGATGGAAACAACTTTCACTTGTACGATACTAGTTTAAAAATTTACTCTTTTATAACAATTACAAATCATATTTTTAAAGACAAATTTGTCTTGATAAAATCAAAATTTAAGCATTAAGGGGACAAAAGCATGTATTAAGCTGCTTAAGTCCATAGTTAAGTGGATGTACATGGTGGTTTTCCATTAAATAAGAAATATAAAAATCTGAGGTCCCTTTCCCTTTCCCTTTCCCTTTCCCTTTCCCTTTCCCTTTCCCTTTCCTTCCTTTTTGCGGTACCAGGGATTGAACTCAGGACCCTGCACTTGCCAGGTAAGCACTTATTAGTTATTTAAGTGCCTGCTTCAACAAAGCAGTCAGGATCAAGTTGCTGTGGTTCAATCCCCAGAACTCCAGCCAGCCAAACCTGCCCTGAAGGCA